TGACAAGGGTATTTGGTTCGTTCACCCTGCAAATATTTCAGTAATTTTGTTTTCTGCTTTTATTTATTTTACACCGAACATGGGGTATATTGCAAATTAAAATTCTCGTAAAAAGCAAAAAAAACACGAAATGGTTAAAGCATCAACAAATAAATTCAATTTGGGGCCTTCTTCCAGAGTAATGCCAAAAGGTAAACGAAAAAGCAGAGACAGAGGAAAGTTCCTGTTGTCTTGTCTTCTTGTATCTGTGCTTCCCGAGGTTTTATTTGCTCAAAGGATACTTGTTTTGAGCCAGGACTTCAAGTGAACCCTTTCTGTATGCCGTATGCTAATGTTGTGGCGCCCAAAAAAAGGTCAAATGTTTGCTTTTGTCTTCGAAGTGCGCGCACACTTTTTGCTTTGAAGCGGCGCCAGGAAAAAGAGGCTCAATTAAAATTGGCTTACGCTTTCCGGGAAGCTTGTAGTCTTAATGGGCCTCCTTCACATGTGAAAGACATCTGTCTAATTTCCAGCGCATCCCATTCCCCATTATTTGTACACGCTGAGGTGTCATCTAAGCCCACGGCTTTCGGGGTCACAAGATTGATGTCTGAGCCCCCTGCTCGTTCCGCATAATTTACTTTGGCGATTTATTGCTGACAAACGGTTGCACGCTAATGCGAATGCTTTGCCGACTTATGTCCTAATTATTTATTTGGCTTCAATATGTGCCTGCCTGAATTCTGTGTAAGCTACCAACTTGGCTTTAAGCCTGAAAGCTCTTTATAGTTTACACTTGACAGAGTTTTCTTATTAAATAAGTCATTTGTAAGCCGCCTAAAATGACCATCAAAAGCTAGTGTCTCCTTCGGGGGAATTGCGTTCGCATCTTAAAGCAGCCGAATTTAATGTTTCAATTAAAGCAGCTCATGAATAGGCAACGGGAATTTAATACCCAAATTGTTTTTAACATTTAATATTTATTAAGATGCTTACATCTTTTATGATCTCTCTTTTGGTGCGTGAATATTAACTTCATTTGAATGCTAATTTTCTAATTGAATGTATATAGACGACGACACGTATCCGTCGGCGAGTGTGGGGATGTGCTTTAAGCGAGCACTCACATACATAAATCTACATAAATTTCCTGGCAACTGACTTTCATATCGACCCTTCCGCAGTCGCTTCTCACATCTCTGGCGGCCGCCACACTGCGTATACGCAATAAAGCGAGTGACAAACTGGCTGCCATTTTCGTCAAGCGTCAAGTTGCCCCGAAAGTCGGTGTTTACTTTCTGCCTTTTTAAAATATGCGCACACTGAGAGAAAATTAAGGAGTCATGTATTTGATTTAAAGTAAATAATGTGTGGAATTAAAGTCAGGGACTTTTGTTTGAATGGTTATAAGGTAAAGAAAGTTTTAGTATAAATAATTTCGTAGCTGTCTTGATTTAATATTCAGGCTTGAGTTTTCAGATTTCGTTAGCTGAAACTTCAGATGTAATCCCGTATTCTTTAAATCCTTAAATTTCAAGTCTGATTTCCTTGATTTTTCATTGTTTTCCCTTGTGTACTCATATTCATAGCCAACTTTACCCACTTGTCATATGCTGTAAATCAAGTGAAAGTCCAGAAAAGTCAGCCGAAGGCAGAAATAGCTTGTCTCACAATTTGTTAATACTTTACATGAGCATGAGGAAAAGTTGAGTCAAACTTGCTTAAATTTTAACATTTCATTTAATCCAATGAGCGACTCTTACAATGGAAAATGTTTTTTTTGTCGTCCCTAGGATTAAATACACACGAGTTTTTCGTTTCCCATTGTGTGAGAGAAGAACCCAGAATGATGTATGCTCCGGGAAGGAAAAGTTAGACAGCCTTTGTGTTACACTCTCCCAGCCAGCAGGCTGTCGAACTTTGCAGCTACAACCTTGTCTCATCAAAGATGTTATTAGCTATATAAATATTTCGCCCCAAAAGTTCGATGCACGCTATATAGTATGGGAATTCCATTTGATTTCACTTATGCTTTAATTGAATTTTCACTTAAGCAAGCGGAGACACTCGGCAAATATTGCCGCACTCACGCGCTAATGGAAAACTCATTATCCTGGCATCAGCAGGACTCGGGGACGAGCGGCGGTCGGCCATCTTAGCAATTAGATAGAAAGCGCGCGCGTTTCTGCGTCGTGCAAGTGAGCTTATTGTCAATTGAGTGTCTGTGTGTGTGCGCGAAGGATCTAGGGGTATCCTGGGATTGTGGTGCACAACCACTTATATCCCTTAAGTGCCACACAATGGCAACTTTAAAGAGACCAGGCAAGAAGCCAGCTGCTTGCTGTTGGTAATGCTGCAAGTAATTCCCAGGATTTGTGCAGTCAACATTTCCATGCATGCAACAATAGGAAAAAGCAAAGCCTGGGTTATTAGCAGATCTGCATTTTTAATATGCTTCTATATATTCCAGCTTAGTTGTTGCTACTTTTACTTTGCAATTTTAAAATGGTTTTCATGAATGAAGAGTTTAAAGGCTTAAAAATTAAGATTTCCCAAAAACATGTTTTCAGCTCATGGTTGTTTATTTACTAATAAATTCCTGGTGCGTTGTAAAAATATTTATGCTTACTAAATAAAAAATATATTCATATCAGTTTGCGCATATTTTTTCTGCTCACATTTATTCACAACCAAAAAAATAACCGCCATAGTCGAAATATTCGATTTCACGAACAAAAACCAATCAAGAGTAATTACAGGAGCATTCCACGGCTTCTAAATCAATGACCTCCGCCAGGATTGCATGCTGGGCCAAAAATAGTTTCTGCATCAAAGGTTCAAAGCGCTGTCGGGCGGAAAGATTGCAATTTGAAATATTCATTGTAAGGCTACAGGTATAAAAGAAAATAATGGAAACGAAATTGAACGAAGCCTCAACTCTTAATAATTTGTATTTGCGTAGGAGTCCTGTCCACTTGGAAATATGATATTTATCCAACTGGCTTTCTACTGCATTCCGCCACTTAGGGATCCATTAAGCCAGATTTTTTTTGTCTGTCTTTCGGTATTTTCAAACAAGGATGTCCAGTTGTTTTTGGAATGTAAGAGGGGCGACTCCGGGGAAATATGTCATAGGAATGAGTGGAATGTTGCTGCCAGTGGCAATGTCAATATTTGAGCACAAAAGCGACTTTTCACAAATGTAATAACAGTGCCCACTCTTCTGGGTTTCCACATGGGGGCGGGAGTTTGTATAGTATCCATACAAGGGACCCATATGTGTGCATACCTTGTGACCCTGTTCCCTCTTCACTCAAATCATTTACAGTGAAAAAGATTTAAAGTGATACCCTAACTTAATCAGAAAATTTGATATTAATTGTGAGGATTTACTTAAATATTTATTAAGCTGGGAATGTCAGTTTGTGTGTACATGAAGTGATTTTCTACAGTTTTCAATAATTTAAATTTATTTAAAATCTTTGTTATAATCAATATTTCTTGTCCAAGTTGATTACTATAATTTTTGTAGTGCAAAAGACATTCAAATGACATTTTTTCCAGTGTCACATCTGGCGCATCAGTGCCATTTTACAGTCGAGAAGCTGGACAACAGTTTGCAGATGGCGCACGGATCCTTTGCCATGGACAGCTGGCGGCCATGAAGCCCTGTTTCACTGCTCCTCCTATGTCCCTAAATCGCTCATCAGCTCCAAGGCAGCGAAGCCAGAATGCCGGTGTCATTTGTCAGTGCATCTCCACCTGGGGGTTTAATTAACGGGGCCAATTTAGCCGAGTGATTAAGTGCCATTTAATGACGCTTCTGTCGCTGGAGGACTGATGTCCATCTGTGTGTTGTCCTTGCATGGATCCTAGTTTTGGTTTATCTCGGCAAAAGGTTTTTAATTAAGACCTTTAAGTATAATTTGAATATCATTACCCGGCAACTAAAACCACTTAACCCGTTCTCTAACCCTTCTTGGGTCTAGTCAGCATTTTCCAAAAAGCTAATTAAGTTTTAAAAGTTCATTTTTATCCCCTTCTTGTTGTTTTAGGGTTTTTGTTTTATTTTTTTTGTTGTTGTTTTTGGTTCCGTCCTGCGGCTGTCTACACGGGTGAAGCTCAAACATTTAGAATAATTATTTCAAAAAGTCAGACGACGACACAAGAGGTCATTTGCTTGAGTGACTGAGTAGTTTGGCTTGGCAAGGAGCTTGAGTTTAAACGGAGCTCACATCCTGTTGGCATTTTCGAGCAACGCAATTTCATAGAACGAATACAGTTGAACTTCGGTAAGATGTACGTTTAGAGTTGAAAATAATTCGAGGTGAATACAATTTAAGACTATGGTGTGTGACAGGGGTGAAACAGAAAACTAAAAAGTGTAAAAATCAATTAAAAATGTGGTTAAAAGTATGCAGTAAAAGGTTCGATGTGCCAAATTTAGTGTAGGTTTTGTATTTTGTATAACAGTTTAGATTAGGCTAAGCTCCCAAAAAATAAGGAAACAGTATACTGGTAATAAAAAGACAGAAACAAAAAAGAGTTTTCAATGCCTTTTTAAAAAATAACAAAATACTAATAATTTTAAAGCATACTTTTAGACGTCTTTATTGGAGATTTCAAACCTTAAGAGATTTTTACGTTTGCCCCTCTTATTAAGCATATTGAAAGAAATTCAATATAAAATGTTTAGTTCCTTATTTTCCCATTCCTAGAAATTCAGATTCAGCGAAGCTCTGCTGTATTTCCCAGTTGTGCCAACGTGTATGGTGGCATCTGTAGTTTGGGGACTGAAAGGCAAAGAGCTTTATCACTTCCTGGTAGTTGGCTTTGGATCCCTTCTTCGTTAGTTGTAGTTCCGTTTCCATGGAGCAGGCATGCAAATGAAATGTGCTGAAAAAATAAATATCAGGATGCTGCCAAATAACAGTGCTTCCCTTGGAAATCGCATTTTATTATTCTGATGTCTTAGGTCAATCAATTTGTAAAAATATCTGAACTTTTGCTTAAATCTCTGCCTTTTGGGGATTTGGCCACAAAAACACGTAACACGAAAGGTTGGCTTAGTGACGAACTACATTGGCATCACCGCCATGGGCCGGACTGGAGGCCAGAGATATAATGGGTATTCGGACCAGATGCTCTCCGTTCGGCTGCGGCAGCTCTGCTGTGTGGCCTAAATGTTGTTGCTCGATTTTAGTTGCGAATTATTGCGGCTGGTTAATCCTCACCTGTCCGGGACTGCTGCTCCTCCTCCTCGGTGATGGTGGAGAAGTTGGTGAGCCGCTGCGAGGTTATCAGCGGGCTGGCCAGCATTCGTCGACGCTTGCTGCTTCCATTTCCATTTCCGCATCCGGTTTCCAGCTGTTGCAGCAGACTGTGCTGCTGCTGCTGCTGCTGCTGTTGCCTCTGTTGCTGCTGCTGCGATTTGGTTAGTTTCTCGGCTGCTGTGAAGACCACAATAGGCTTGGGTTTGGAGGCACATGGTTTGTCGGGGTAAGGGCAGGCAGGTAAGCATACTTGGGGATGGCACAACACATTCACCGAATACCTACCGACGCCGCTGTGGCCGCCAGCTGGAGCTCCGCGCGCTGCAGGCGGAATGCCTGATACTGCGAGATGACGCACAGCAGACAGTAGAGCTGGAAAATGTAGATGGGTGTGACCCTCGAATGGGAATGTTTTAGCGTTTTAAACTCACGTTGAGGCACAGGATGAAAAAGTCCATGGTGAAGATGAAACCCACAATCGGATCGAATATAACACGGCGGGAGAGGGTCAAGTGCACCAGGTGGAAGCACTCGATAAGCAGGTCGCCCAGCATGAACAGTATCCAGGGTATCAGCAGCTGTCGCCTGTTCTGCAAATTCCTCAAAAATATGTGGTCGGAAGGGAGTTCAAAGCCTCACACACTCATTACACCCACCTGCTGGAGGCCCAGAATCAACAAAACCGACGATAACACCATCAGCATCGAGCAAAAGAGAAACAAAACGTTGAATATCACAGTCGCTGCAAAGGGCATAAATCACACGTAATTGAGTCGCATGCCAGGACCTCCCACGGCAAAAGAAAACGGAAGAAAGGAGCTAGGAGCTTTGGTCTCACCTACAGTCACATCACCCTTCTCCAGCAGGCTCTCGCCCATGGGCTGGGCCCGTTGCCCCAGCAGGAATTCCTGCTCCTCGACCAGGTAGAACAAAAACATAAGCGTCGAGAAGCCAAAGTAAACCTGCACATAAAAAAGGAAGGAATGTGAATACACGGGAAATAAAATTAGCTTAGATATTATGAGCCTAAATTTAATAGAAATACGTAATTTTGTACAGTACAGAACAGAAATATCGAACATTCTGAGGCATAGAAGATATAGATACATAGATTTTCATTTTACTAATTAAATTTATACAAAGGATAAATACTCTTTGAGTGCAGTAACCACACAGGGAAATATACCCGGAAATTACGCCACACGGGTTTTGTGCCAGAAGCCACGAAAATGAAGTCGCTCTTCTCTCAAATCCAGTTCAAGTGAAAATTGAGTGCCGTAATTGCTCAAGGAAAGCTCCTTCTTCCTTGTTAATATATTAGCTTAGAGGTATTTTCGTTAAATTTCAAAGAGAATCGTCCTTATTCATTGCTTTTGACAGCTATCAATTATGGGAATGCAATATGACAGGCTTCAAAGATAAATAATTTGTGTAACAAGACACAATATTAATTTGTTGCTGACAGTTAGATTAATTTTGATTGTTAAATAAATAGGACGGAATTCTGTCATTATTTTATTGACCACATCAAAGGCAAAGAGTTGAACAATGCAGAAATTGTTGTGATTTAAGATAGAATGTGTAAATATACACATTATAATGTGATAATTGATAATTATCAAAGAATTAATTGGAATTATAATTCACCGAAGTAATCTTTATGTTGTGGTTCTAAATGTTAAACAAATTATATTAAAAAGTTTTGTGTAATACATTGTATTTCCCATGAAGTCCTTAACTAAACTTGCAAATTACTCTCTTTAATAAATTTTAAAAATTATGTTTTCAATGTATACTTTTTAATAAATGCCTTACAATGACTTTAGATTGCTTTTAAATTTATTTTCAGTTGTGTGTAACCTGAGGGTGTAACTTTTCTACTGCTTCTATTAAAAAAAGTTCCCAAAAAAAGGCAAGAAACTTTTTAGAGTTGTTTTGCCGTCTGGCTAAAAAGTACCCAAGGGGAATTTCGATATTTGCACATGTGCTCTCTGGCTCGCAGCCACATCTTATCGTTGGCAAATTATTCATATTCATTCAGGGGACCTACCAACGTATAGATGGCACAGGCGAAGCTGCCACTCCGCACGTCCTTCCAGAAGCAACAAGACTCCAGGATGGCCATCTTTCAGTCGCTCACGCCTCCTCAAGCCGGATGAACATTGGAGATGAGGGATTTGAGCTGTATAACGGCTGCCGCCACTTTCACTTGACTTTCGGCACTTTCACTCGGAAGGATTCTTCCACCCTTATCTTAATCCTTGTTTCCCGCCAAACGGCTAATTTGTTTGCTCTAGTTGTTTTTCTTTCCACGAGTTTTTCTATTTGGCACTCCGCAGATAGATATCTAGGATATAGCCTTGCCGCTTTCGGTACACAGACACTGACACATTATTCCGCACACAAGACGCGCAGCAGATTTATGACACTGATTTATGTGGCATGACCGGGCGTATTTATGGGGCCCAAAAACTATGCGATCTTTGATATATATATTCACTACAGCAAAGCGAACCGCCTTCGTTGAAAGTCGCATCGGGACTGGCACAGTCCTCCTCCAAAGGCAACCAGTTGTGGATTCCTCTTCGAAAATCCTTTCGAAAATCTTTTATGAATGAAAGTTCGAAAATGGTTGTAAGAGCGGTGAGCTTCAAGGATAACGCATGCGCTGGTAGGGCAAATACACAAAAGCAACAGGCGGTTTTGCCGGGTCTACTCCTTGCATCTTGACTGCGGCAGACCAAATTTTCCTGCAATTAGCCACAAACTGAGTTGGCTGTGCCAAGACCACAAATTACAACAGCTCCTCCGGCTTAGTTCTCAATTGGATTTGGGTAAGCTTTTAATTAGCGTGCCGAGCATTCGGGATGAGTTTACCTCAGAGGCGAGTAATGGCGCCAAGACGGAAGGGCTTGCTCCTCCTCCTTCTTTCGAGTCAATGACAATGCCGATTTTGTGCTCCAGTTGTCGCTACCAAACCGGAAATGAAAGCCAATTCAGTGGTATGGAAAATCATCTAGTCATCGGGAAGGATAACACAAGGATTTTCACAAGTCAGAGATGATTAAATGGTGTAAGCAGAGGATTTCTTTTGTTAAGAATAATCAAGAAAGATAAGACTTAAATCATAGCTTTTTTTGGGGGAGAAAAGCGAGTTTTTTGAAAGGAAATAATTAATAATATATAATAAATAAATAAAATTAAATACAAATATACCAAAGAAGGCTTTGTTTCCTTCGCAATGGCTTTTATATCCAGTTATTTTCTGTCAGAATTGAAGTTGACAATTAATATGGCAAAAGATGAGAGGAGTGATAAAGATGACAACTCAGTGGATAATAGCCGGAAGTAAGTAGCTGGCAGTCAATCTTAAATATATCCTTGAGCCAACTCACCACAACAGGCTCCTCTTTGAAACGAATAAGGTTGACACATCCATTCAGGTTGGGAGTTCGCTGGAAAATGCAAGGGAACGCCGAACCAATTCCTCGTTGTATAATCTGAGACGCTCGCACTTGTCGTTCACAAGGGGGTCCTGGGAGGCATCAGAATACATCGATTTCGATGACCTGCTTCCAATGCTCGGTCAGTTTGGCTGGTTCCAGAAGCGACTGTTTCTGTTCATGATTCCCTTCTGCTACATTACCGCCTTCGTGTACCTGGGACAGATATTCATGACCCTGACTCCCAACGACTTCCACTGCTTCGAGCCCGAGTTGGAGCTGATGACGGACAAGGAGTTGCGCAAGCAGCTCTCTATTCCCCGGGAGAAGGATGGCTCATACAGTCAATGCCGAATGTATGAAACCAACTACTCGAGGATCCGCTATGCCCGGAACAAGACGGCTATGATCGACACATCGTTGCCCACGATGCCCTGCCAGCACGGATACGTGTTCAATACCTCGGAGATGCCCTTTGTCACGGCCACCATGGAGTTCGGGTGGGTCTGCAAGGATGACAAGTATGCCACCTACGCGCAGATCATATTTTTCGTTGGCTCCATTGTGGGCTGTCTGGGTTACGGATACTTCGCGGACCACTGCGGTCGGGTGGCGGCCCTGGTCAGCAGTTGCTCCCTTGCCATCATTGGTAGCATAGGCACAGCCCTGTCCCAGAATTTCCTGGCGTTCGCTGTCTTTAGGTTTTTTGTGGGCGCCTCCTGTGATACGTGCTTTACCATGGTGTACATTTTGGGTAAGAAAGTGTGAGAATTAGGGTCTTACGTGGTCGTCGTTAATGGAGGTTAATGTGCAGTTCTGGAGTACATTGGACCCAAGTACCGAACCCTTGTGGCCAACTTGTCCCTACTGCTGTTTTACTCGCCCTTCACCATGCTGATGCCGTGGATTGCGCTGGCCTCTAGAAACTGGCGGACATTCTCCATCATGGCCGGCCTGCCTCTTTGCTTCGCTATGTTATCCTACTGGGTTCTGCCCGAGTCAGCACGGTGAGAACTCCTTCGACTTTCCCATGGAATGAAAATCATATTAACCTGCCATCGCAGCTGGCTCGTTTCCGTGGGCGAGATTGATAAGGCCATGGAGATCTTGGAAGAATTAATACAGGTGAACAAGAAGCATCTTCCGCCCTGGATCCTGGAACTGTTCGAGAGATGCTGCCTGCAGTTCTACAAGGAGGAAATGCACGGACGTGAGTTTACGGTATTCTCGATATTTAAATACCGGCGCATGGCCTGCTATATGGTCCTGATGATCGGCATTTGGATGGCCATGTCGCTGGTGTACGATGGCCATGTTCGGGCGGCTAGTGTCCTTGACTCGCATAATGTCTTTCTCTTCTTTACGATCGCCTGTGCCACAGAGCTGCCGGGCAATATCGTGGTGATCCTCACCCTGGATCGTTTCGGACGCCGTTGGTGTTCCTTTGCCTTTACCATGTTAAGCGGCCTCTTTAGTTTGGTCGGTGCCTGCATAGTGAACGCGACGCATATGAAGAATTTAGCGCTGGCCGGAAGGCTCTTCGCCAACATGTGCTACAACGTTGGACTCCAGTGGGCGGCGGAGATGCTGCCGACGGTGGTGAGGGCTCAGGGTGTCTCCTTTATCCACACGATGGGCTTTGTGGCCATGATGATGTCGCCGCCGGTGGTGTACCTCTCCCAGCTTTCCTTTTCCCTCATGCTAATCGTTCTGGGCGTCCTGGGAATTTTGGCTGGAGTACTGGCTCTCTTCCTGCCGGAAACCCTCAATCACGAACTACCCCAGACGCTGAGCGAGGGCAATGTCTTTGGAAAGAATCAGCGGATGTGGCATGCACCGTGCTGCGGACCAGGAGCAAGGCGATCCGCGCGAAGAAACTATTTGCATCAGGGTTCCAGCCTGCGTACCTTGTCACGGGATGAGTTCCGCTCCAAGCGGATGCTGCGCCGCACCAGCCCGCCGCTCATTAGCGAAAACACATCGATGCTAACTACACGGAGTGTCGATGAAAAGGAAATTCGAACTTATGACTATAAGTAGTAGTAGTAACCATGTCCAAAGTCTACAAGGAACTAAACTATAGACTAAATATTAAAAATAATTTTGTAAATAAAGCCTTTAAACTTAATTATAATTTAGTCCGAATTCCGTTTACTCGAGGGCCTTCTGCTGCTGCCAGAACTACATGTCCATCCTCGCTTCATTTCACAGAGGAGACTATTCCCATTTCAAGTTCGGGGAAACTGCTTACCTTCCATGCACCTATTCCGTGCAATTCTGCATTAGTGATTCTAGGGAACACATGCTCTGGCTAATTATAAGTTAGTTAACCGTCAAGACGAATGCGTTAGCTACAGATAACAAAAATTCGGGGAACACTTTACAGTTGAGTGTCGGTCAGGACAGAACTATTCCCAAATGAGCGGAAGAACTTTACTGCTTGTCGTGTTTTACGTGCTCCTGTATGTTCTGGTACTGCGTTGGGCTTTCCAAAAGCCAACGCACCCGTTCCCAGACGACGAGAAGTATATCAGAGCGACTCTAAAAAAGCTACTTATTGCTCGCCATGTCGGCAGCCCAGGACATGCCGCAGTTCGTGACTTCCTCGACAAGGAACTAATGCGGTTAGGTTTCCTTTCCAAAAGTTATGACTTTTTCGAAGGCATCAACTACTCCAATGTGGTGGGCTATTGGAATGACCAGGCAGACCAGTATCTTGTGCTAACCTCCCACTACGATGGCCCAAGTCCGAGGAAGGAACAGGAGAAAGACGTCTTGGTTTCAGCCACAGACGGAGCTGTTTCCTGTGCCATTCTGCTAGCTTTGGCCAGGACGTTTAGGTTATTTGCCAGGTCCTTGGGCCCATCCACTGGTCTGGTTGTAAGTAATAAAATATATCTAATTAAATTATAATTAAATAATTAAGAGGTTTCTTTTTAGCTTGTATTCTTTGACGGCCATGAGTCCCAGGCCACGGAACCTGAAAAAAAACCTAAGCTCTATGGATCACAGCACTTTGTGAATAGTCAAATTATACCTAAAGACGAAATAGTAAGTCAAAATAAATAGAATTTCAAAAATCTTTAATTTTTTAAGGAATTTTGGAACGAACTTTAGTGTATGGAGCCTCATAGATAGTAGTTTCATTGTATGAAAGTTTTCTAAATTTTTTTCCTATATTTCCTGATCTTAATAATTAATAAATTTTGGTATTTTTACAGGCTCTTGTCGTGTCGCTTAACCACATTGGTGCACCCAACCAAACTTTTCCAAGCTTCTCCGAAAAAAATCATAAAAATCATAATCGCATTGCAAACATAGAACGAGAGCTACGGAAATCTGGTAAACTAGTCGACTCTCATGTCCTGTTCCATAAGATTGTGTCGTATAAGAATGACCTTCCCGATGATCATGTACCATTTAAAGAATATGGTAGCTCTATTATATATTTTATTAAGTCATATTAATATACATACATCAATTTTTAGGGGTGCCTGTCCTGCATATTGCTCCGCCAAAATACCCGGATGTCCATCATACAGCAGCTGATAAGGCGGAAAATTTACATTGGCCCACGATTCTTAATATGATTAAAATATTACGCCATTTTATTTTTGATTTTTTGGTATCAATAGACACTGATGAATACGAATCTGATTTTTACGGTTATATAAATGGGGAATATGTCTAATAATACTATTAGGTATTAAACATAAATTTCCCAAAGGAACAAAATATAATGTTAAATTGTTTACCATAAATGTTTTTTCCTTAATTTTTGAACAACAGTTGTTCGAGCATTTATTATTTATTTTTCCTATTTTCTAATGACTGCCTAAGTTTTTACTTTAATATAAAAACTAAGTAAAGTCTCTCGGTGTAGCTGGGCTCTAATACAACTGCCTCCACATAAGAGCGAATTAATTAAGGTAATTATTATTATCAGCAGTGATTAATCGAGGTCGCATGCCAACAGCCGCCACAGCGCACTTTTCCTCCGACGACCGTTCATCTTGGAAGCTTTATGAGATCCGGCCGCTCTCGCAGCATGATCGGAGTGGGAAGGCTCTCTCCCATGAGCCGAGGCCCAAAGCTTTCCTCATGGTTTTGCCCGCCAAAGAGACAACAACGGAAAGCGAAAACAAAAACTAAAACAACGGCCAGCCAGCAGCATCGGCAGCGGTACCGTTGAGATCGATTTTTCAGGCGTCGATCGCGCTTAGTGCGCCACCAAGCTCCAAAGCGTCCAGATGGGTATTGGTTCCAAGCTCATGGCCTTCGCCGGCCTGCTCTGCATGCTACTCCTCCTCCCGCTGGCAGCGTCCCAGGCCCAGACCCAACAGCAGCAGCCACAAGCTCGAGCGGTAACCATAACCCCCGCTGTGGTGACTCACTCGGGAAATCACAGACAGTGTCACTGTAAACCCGTCGTCTCGTTGTTTACAGGTCGGAGTGACCCAGTGGAGCGACGACGAGGCGCATTTCAACCGTACTCTGGACTCTATTTTGGTGCCACGCGTCGTCGGCAGCCCCGGGCATCAGCAGGTGGGCCCCATAAAGTTTGATTATATATTTGTTTTGGATTAAAATGACACAATTGAAATTGTGAGCAGGTGCGCGACTACCTGGTCCAATCACTCAGCGGCCTTGGCTTCCAGGCGGAAGTGGATGAGTTCAAGCAGCGCGTTCCAGTTTTCGGTGAGCTGACGTTCGCCAATGTCGTGGGCACAATCAATCCGCATGCCCAGAATTTCCTGGCCCTGGCCTGCCACTATGACAGCAAGTATTTCCCCAATGATCCCGGATTCCTGGGCGCCACCGACTCGGCAGTGCCGTGTGCCATACTTCTCAACACCGCCAAGACCCTGAGTGGCTATTTGCAGAAAGAGTTTCGCAATCGCAACGATGTGGGATTGATGGTAAGCTGGGAAGGTTGTTTAACTAACAATAAAAGACCTTGACAGATAATTAGCCAAGAAATTTTAACGTTGAAGAATGAAGTTATAATAGTTTCATAATTATTAATTAATCTAAGAGATTTTATATTTACTTTTCTCTTTTGAAACCCTTCCATGATTTATTTTAAAGAAAGATCACTTCTTTAATAATGTTTCTTTATGTTTATCAGCTTATTTTCTTTGATGGCGAAGAGGCCTTCAAGGACTGGACCGACGCTGATTCCGTTTATGGCTCAAAGCATCTGGCTAAGAAGCTAGCCCAAGTGGTGCGCAAGGATCCCGCCGGGCAATTCCAACAGGCCCCCAGGAATATAGATAGAATAGTAAGTATATAAAACAAGAAATCTGATCTATTGTAACAAACAATTCCTTCACAGGAAGTCTTGGTGCTGCTGGATCTAATCGGCGCTCGCAATCCCAAGTTCTCCAGCTTTTACGAGAACACTCATGGCCTGCACACCAGTCTGGTGCAGATAGAGAAATCCCTGCGGTCTGCCGGCCAGCTGGAGGGCAATAATAATATGTTTTTGAATCGCGCTAGTGGCGGTCTAGTCGATGATGACCATCGTCCGTTCCTGGAGGAGAGTAAGTTTGGTCTCTTAATACATTTAATTATATATTAATGACATATTCCTTGCAGATGTTCCTATACTGCATTTGGTGGCCACTCCCTTTCCGGACGTATGGCACACACCGCGCGACAATGCAGCCAATCTGCACTGGCCTTCCATACGGAATTTTAATCGGGTTTTCCGCAACTTTGTGTATCAGTATCTGAAGCGACACACCTCACCCGTCAATTTGCGCTTTTACCGAACATAGATTTTCTTATGGCTAAGATTTATTAAGCATAAGTGTAAAGTGTTTTTTCTGTTAATTAAAAAAGAGTGTCCTAAGGCAAGTGTGTAATTCCTTCCTAGCGACGTTTGCGACCGGCCTGGGCCTTCTTGCCGGGAGCCCGCTGGCCGCGATTGCCCTTGGGCTTCTTGCCCACCGCCTTGCGACTGCCCTTGCCCTTGCCCTTTTTGCCGCCCTTTTTCGATGGTTGGTTCTCAGCCTCTGCCTCGCGTCTGTTGGGGATAAAAAGTGGGTTTTAGGAGAAATTCTGCAAGAATTCTTTCTGACAAACTTACGCCAAGCGATCGTCGTGCTTCTGCATCGATATCGCCTTGTCCACATCCAGCCTGGGCTTCTTGTTCAGCACGCTCTTGATGAGATCCAGGTTGGCCTCCTTCTCGGGCGTTTGTGTGATATGCGACTGCTTTCGTTTGCCGCCCGGAATCAGCTCCTTGATGCCCAGACCACGTGCCTCCTTCTCCTTGGGCAGTTTGTTTTGGAATTTGCCAACGGAAGCAGTGGAGGACTTGGCCACGGTCACGGCGGTCAGTAGTTGACTGGAGGAGGCAGCCTCTGGTCCCAGGTAACCACTGCGCGGCATATCGACCTTTTTGGCCCGCACAATGTTCCTCATTCGCTGGATTTCGTTCTTGGCCACCTTCTCGTTGCGCAAGTCGACCTTCTTCTGGAACATGTCCGTGTTGGGGTCCACGTTCTGTGGCACCTCCAGGACCCAATCCTTGGCCTTCTCGGCCTCAGCACGCTTAAAGCCATATGTGGGCACCCATTTCTGCAGGGATTAAGATAAGTTAGAGTTTCTATGAGAGTTCGAGGGTGCAAAACTTACATCCATGGTTTCGTCGTAGGTCTTCTTCTCCTTCTTCTTCTTGGTGATGCCCTTCTCCTTAGCAAACTTCTCCCATTTGGTAAGCGGCCGGGGTCCAGGCACCTTGCGGAGGCGGGGCAGCACTGTCGTTGGTTCCGGCAGTTTGGCCACAATGCTCTCGTCCACGCGCTCTGTGGGCAGCTCCCAGATGGCGTTTACCAGCAGCTGAGTGTTCTCCCGGGTCAAGGCAGCCAGGTACTCCTCCTTGTTGTCCCTGCAAGTGTCCACAATCACTATAGAAGTCGACAAACACGGCGAAAAGCGAACCCCTTACCTCAGTTCCCGGTCATCGAAGTCGTTGGGATCTGTGATCAGCAGGGTGCCCACGTCCAGGCGACATTCCAGGTGCTTTTCTACTGTGATGGGCTTGTATTTGTCCAATTCCTTTTGGTGTTTCGCTAAGACTTCCTTGACAACATCCATTTTGAGGAAAATAAACACCAAATATATTCAATTCTCGTACACGTGCTGACCAGTGTGACCGCATGTCGGTCGTTGAAATCCCAAGCCGGCTGAAAAATAAAATACCAAAGTATTTTAAGGAATATTTAAGTTTTAAGAAGTAGAAAAACGTAAAACTTTGAAAGAATTATTATATAAAACAAAGTTATCTTTTAAAACGTTTAATAATATTAAAAACTGACACGTAATGATATACCAAATAGGTTTAAAAAAATACCACTTTTAAGTACTTACAAAATTAATCGATGAAGAGAATACACTTATCGGCGCGAATTTAAAATTGTTTCTTTTACTGCGTTTCCTTTACTTTACGATTCCTGCAGCGAAGGGTCCACCGTTTCTCCGCTTCCTCCAGCGTTTGTGGAAGATACGTGCCCTTCGTTTCCGGCAAGCATACAACTACAATTGCTCCGATGACTGAAATCAATGTGATGATAAACATGGGCAGTGAGTGGTAATAATGCTTCGTGTAGATAACAAACGGAGAAAGTAGAGCTGCTGCATGACCCAGGATGTTAATAACACCCCAGCCCTGGCCGCGAACCACGGTGGGCAGGATTTCGACATCCCACTGCTGAGCCACATTGTAAGCAACGGTGGCAAAGAATCTGGCGATGATCGCAGCTACAGCGATCCACAACTTTTTGCGCAGAATGCCCGCCGAAAAACTGAAGAGGCCACAGAACAGCAACGCTGAAATGTTGAGGGGCTTCCGACCGACTCGATCCACCAGAAACATTGGCACTATTCCAGCCGGAATCTCAATCAGAGAGGCCACCGAAAAAGTGATGAAAAGGTCAGTGCCCAGAGAGCTAATGATCCTTACATGGGCATCATAAACCAGACACACCACCGCCCAATTCGCGATTAGCATCAAAATAATGGCAGCCCTGCGAAAACTCTTGAAGAGATCCAGAAAATTGTACGTTTTCGCAGATTGGTGCTCGGCGTTAATTAACTCGAAGCACACCTGCATCTCCAGCCACTCTGCATCAGACATAGTTTTCCGATTGACTTTCGCCACCTTTTTCAAGCCTTTTATACCTCTTTCGATCCTGCCCACCGATATAAGCCAACTGAAATGAAGGTATTCGAATTTTTGATTGAATTTCTTTAAACTTTTGTCTACTCACCTGGGCGACTCGGGTATCAGGAAGCACATCGCCACCAAAACAGACACAGGCACAGCCATGGCTAAGGCAAAATGTCGCCAATCCCTTAGAAAATAGGCTATCCATGGGAGAACCGCTATTGCCAGAGAAAACCCTACGGCCATGGCCAAGTTTCCTATAAGAGCACGGTACTTTGTGCCTACGTTCTCTATGGCTGTAAAGGAAAATGTTACATATACTTAAATCTAATAACCCCATGGACTCACTTAATATATAGATAGGAGTAAAGCAGTTATCAAGGGCCATGCCCACCAGAAATCGGGTGGCAGAAAAAAGGCCAAAGTCTTTAAACAAGGGACTGAGGCAACCGCCGACCAGGGCGCAGGAATTGGCCAGAAATAGGGACCAAACGCGGCCGCAATGATCCGAGATGTAGCCGAAACAAAAGCAGCCCAAAACTGAGCCCAAGAAGTATATGGTGGATGTGTAGGTGGGCAGCTCCTCGTCACCGCACACCCAGTTGCCCTCAGTAGCAATGGTCTCGTAGGGAACCTGTTCCTTGTCGTAGATCCAGCCCTTGTCGCAGGGCTTTCGGGGCCAGCTCTCGTTTGCCTTTGATACGTTTAGTTTGTCAAAAGCAACATCGTACCTTTCACACCTCTGGAACTTTCCCTCCTTGGTCTTGGGGATTCCCAGCGCAAGCTGCTGCTCATTGGGCAACGGCTCCAACTCCGGAACGCGGCACCAGTGGTTGTCTGGTACGAGTATCATGAATATTTGGCCAAAGTAAGTGAATCCATACAGAAAGGCGGCCAGCAACATGACCATCAGCAGTCGCTTCTGATAAGCTCCAAACTCCCCGACATATGACAGGAAATCAGTAAACTTTGAGCAATCTTGACCGGACATTTGCACTATTTAAGTTGGAAAATAACGAGATAATTTAAATGCCAACTTTGACCGTTACATCGATAAATCGATATAGAAACAGTGTTGTGTAGTGTAAAAATTAATAACTTAATGGTATTTTATGGTATTTTCAAGGTCGGACACTATATTAACACCACTGGAGGCTGGTCACACCTGCAGTTTCCCGCGCATTTCCTGACCAAGAAAAATAATAATAAAGTTCAGTGCTTAAAATCAAGACCTGCAATGGATGCAGACCTGCTGACGCTCAAGAAGCGAATAACAAACAACTTCAAGCTATGCGGATTCCTCATCCGCTCCGAGAACAGCACCTACTTGGCGGAGCAGCTGCTGCCCTTCGACAGAGCGGAGCGCGACAAATGGCTGACTGTGATCACGCAGAACTTGCAGGGACAGAAGCTAACGACGCCGCATGTGGAGCGAGCATCGCTGGAGAAGGCCATCAATGAGCTAAACCGAGTGGGTCTGGATGAGGGGGAGACGGTCTTCGCCCTGATCGACGCATTCACAGTGCCCCGCTTCCGCTACAATTCGCGGGTGAAAAAGTTCGAGCTGGACACTCAGCCGCGCCAGCTGCTCACGGCTCCCCGCATGAAAGCGGAGTACATGCAGCAGCGCTATGCCATGCTGCTGCAAAAGACCCTGCGCCACGACCTGTTCGCCCCCGCTGTCATCCAGGATGGCGTAAGCGCTGAGGCACAGGCCAAGAAGTTCAAGCTGCAGTTTGCAGAAAACCTGCTGGCCACGTCGGCCATGAAGGAGGCTGTCGTGTTGGGGCTGCTCACCCAGCTGAAGGAGGGCAAGTTCTATGTGGAGGATCCCACGGGCTGCGTGCAGTTGGATCTCAGTGGCGCCCGCTTCCATGCAGGTTTCTTCTGCGAGGGCTGTTTTGTCCTTGCCGAGGGAAACTACAATAATGGTGTGCTTAAGGGTATGTGGCACCAGAGAATACGCAATTATTTTATTGATTTTAATTGCTCTTCCAGTTGATGGCCTGGGTTTTCCCCCGGCAGAGCCTGCCACCAGCAGTCGAGCGTTTTTCGGCACCGCCAACACCTGGGGCGGTGAATCCGCCAAGCTGCTTAAGTACTCCCCCCGCCTGCAAGAACTGGAACGGACAAATACGGAAACTACGATTGTGTTCCTATCCGATGTCCGCTTGGATCTGCCCGTTGTCATGGACAAGCTGCGCCAGCTCTTTGTCGGCTACGATTCCTGTCCCCCGCAGGCCATTGTGCTGATGGGCCCGTTTACGGCCAGCACCAGGAATCACCACGAGTTGCGGCAACATCTAGATGCCTTGGGTGGCCTGGCAGCCGGATGCGAGCAGCTGAAGAAGCAAACGGATTTGATACTCGTTCCCTCATCGGAAGATCCCACGGCACCGAATATTTTGCCGCGTGCTCCGATACCCGAGTGCCTGGCAGCGGGACTGCTAAAGGCCTGGCCACGCACCCAGTTGGCCACGAATCCCTGCCGCTTGCAGTACTGCACCCAGCAGATAGTCGTCTGTCGGCTGGATTTGATGGCCAAGTTCTGCCGGAATACGTTGCATTTCCCGGAGGATACGTCGCAGATAGAGCAGCATTTTGCTCGGACAATTGTGTGTCAGGGTCACCTGGTGCCCATTCATCCAATCGCCATGCCAGTGCATTGGGACTATGATCCCGCCCTGTGGCTATATCCGCTGCCGGATCTTATAGTAATGGGTGATTCGTGTCAAAGCTTTAGCAGCAATCAACACGGATGCACAGTCCTCAATACCGGCTCCTTTGTCAAGTCCAAGTTCGCCTTCAAAGTGTACATACCAGCCACGCGAACGGTTGAGGACTCGGAGATACCGGACGATATGGAGTAGTTGTGCTAAAGGTAATCATTATTTAATAATATGTTTAATATAAATTATAACTTACTGCGTATTATTATTTATTCTATATTTGTTTTGGGTTATTTGGGAAAATGTGTGGCGATTTACGAAGGTTTTAAATGAGATGGGAAGGGAATTTCCCGAATGCAAAATTACCAAAAATGTAATGTAACTAGTCTCTAGTTTGGTAGGTCTTTATTTTCACTATGTGAACGTCCGTCCATTGTTATCCTATAAAAACTCTTTCCTCTACCGGAACCTCCTCTCTCGCTGCTCAATCTCCAGTTTTCTGCATACTTTTTGGCATTTACAGCCTAGCTATTTAATGATTTGAATATAAACATGTTTCGGGAGCTTAGGCATCCTTCTCGTCCTCGCCTTCACATGTTGCTCGACCAGCATGAGCGTGTGCCTGTGCCTGTTCCCTTGTGATAAGCGGCCCAGCCTCATCATCGTCCTCGTCAGTCATCATATGCGCACAGCATGTGTTCCACAATCGTCTCCTGGCGCTCCTCGCAATCTGCTTTCTACTGCGAGCGGTGGGTTGTCTATTACTTTTCATGACTTAAAGCCGATTTGGAAAAATATTGTTACTCTGCCGCTGCCCCTGCCGCATCTTCTACCACTGCTGCCCATTTAGGGGTCGTGGAAATTCAATTTCCCAGGCCGGCGCGCAGCTCCTCGGCAGCTGAAACGGCAATTTTGATAATGCGTTTGACCTGAGGACATCGATTGCCCCCATTTTCTGTCACATGACCAGTTGCCGAATCGTTTTTTAAGACATCATTAGCCGGGCTCTGTCGCAGTAGATAGGGGGGCGGTTTTCCCTGCCCGTAAGGGCTTTTTTCTCTCCTATTGATTTATGATTTATGAGCGCAACTTAGAAATACTCGGTTGTATGCCGCACGTCCCTGGGATCAATTTCCGAAATGTGTCCTCCATGAGTGTCAATTCGATTTGGGGGGCGTGGTCAGCCCAGAGTGCTAAATATAAATGTCTAAGGGTAAACCCACTATTATACCTTAATGTTTATATTTTTAAAGGAAAATAATAGTTTCAAAATGTGAGAGTAATATATTTATTCTTTACTTAGAGAGTTTATTGTCATTTCTGTGTTGTATAAATATTTTATAAGGTTATTAAATAGAGCATTTAAGTTTATAAAAAATGCGCTTTAAAAGAAAACAAAATTGCATCTTTATAGCTAAATTTAAATAGCAAATAATCTTCATCTACTACTAAATCCAAGTAAGAACAACCTTATATAAATACAAATTTAAGCTTTAATAAAACACATTTACAGTTTTTTTTAGGCCAGCATTAAATATTGATCTTATTATTATTATTTGAAATAATATTGCTTCTTGTGTAATATTTTTTTAGCCATTGTTTTTCGGTTTTTTGGTCTGATTCTCCGCCCACAAAGTGCTTGTGCTCTGTGACAACAATCTTGCTTCTGCTTCATTTAACTCGTACACTGGCAACTTTTGAAATTTAAATATTGTTTTGCGGTTCCTCTCTCTGTGCAGTTGGCCACAGCAGCGCGCAGCAATAACATAAAAAACCATTTTATCTGTTATGGTCATCAGTTTTTATGGTGTCCCCGCGACACCATTTAATTTGAAACTGAAGTTTTTGCGTCCTCCCAGACTCTAGATTTCGGACTGCCGACTGCTGACTCGATTAAAGCAATCGCTGATGCGGAATCCTCCGAATCTGTGTCTTGGGTCCGTCATCAATCACTCGACCAGCTGCGTCCCCCAGTCCAATCAAGGATCAAAGACAACTGCCCATGGTGTGGCACCTTTTCTTATCCTCCACTCAGGCATTCACACATGCCCGACAATCAAACGGAATGCACTCATGTGCATGTCCTGTGGTTATTCGAGAATTTTTAACCCATCTTTTGGCTTTGTTAGCATATCCATGGCCGATTCCCCACCGCCGCCAAGTGGCCATATGCCAGGCGTCCCCTGCAAATCCATCCAGTAATCCACGCCCTGGTGGTGTGATTTTTCGGTTTGAAGGGATATATTTGACTTTCTGGGGGTGGCTTTAATCGTTTTGCTGTTGTGATACCCTTTCGGTGGGTTTTTAAATGTGGTTGTTTTCTTTTTGAAGATTGAAATGAGTAATGATCTTGGGGATATAATATATTATTATTATATATACAAGTTTTACAGATATAAGTTATTTCAACAAGCCTAACTTTTAATCATATTTATTCGGATTTTGAAAAGTTTTTTTGTTTTGTCAATCAGCCAGAATGAAAAATTTAATATATTTGTTAGGTAATATCTCTAAAAATGCTTAAAATCTATAGCAATAAATAATTATTCGAGTATTTGAAAGCATTTAAAAGTAATTAGAAATAATTATATTTTGAATATATGTCAAGAATAATAATAAATATATTTATAATAATATAATATAAAATTCATAATAAATATAGTAATATAAAAAAATTACACCTTAAGTATTACAATCTATTACAATCATATAAACTTAATCCTAGAAAACAATGTATAAAATTGCACAAAAACCCATTAAAAGCTGACAGGATACAGCTTCATTTAGAATATAAGCTTTATCTTTTAGAAAACAATTTATGAATATAAAATCTAAAACCCTTATTTCTATATATTATAGGACCCCTCTGACGATTATTATTAGCGCATATGGTCAAAGGGTTTGGTTTGGCTTTGTCGCTTTGAAACCACAACGTCAACTGGAAAATCAAAAGCTCGCCTTTGTTTATGGGCCAATTCTTTTGTTTGCAGCCATTGATACTTGAAGGGTTTATTAACTTTTTATGGACTCGACAATGAGCTGCATCCTTATAGCTGCTGTTGATTTTGATAGGGTTATCACAAACATTGTGTGCAGTTTCCCCAGTTGGCAGTTGGCAGGACACTTAAGCGTTGTTGGGAGTGCTCCTTCTGGTAGACTGGGACTGAGAATAAATCCGCCTCATAAACTCCACTCCGTGAATGTGGCGACAATGTATCAACTTAAGTCCCGGACGTGCGCTGGTCCGCACTCCTGACTCCGGACGTGTGCCAACATTTACGCCTCAATTATCAGCCGCAGAGCAAACACACAGACACTGGGGGTCATCATTGTGCTCATACACAGGCGATAATTTGCCGGCCATAAGCTGATCCCACACATGGACCACCCAGCGTGTCCGGCGATCCCATTCAATCTGAGCCAAACCAATCCCAATACCAATCCCTGTCCAATTCAATCCACTGCCGGCGAAGTGGCAAGTGCCACGTGCCGCCCATTAATTTACGCGTTGGCTTTATCTGCGATTTGCTTGCGCATTTCCCAGCCAGTTCTGGTTAAGTGAATCCTGGTCGTGGTCCTGCCACGTGCCAAAGTTGGCAAATCAAATGTTTTTATTATTTAAAGCGACAAACGCCGACGCCGTTTTATTGTCTTCCTTAAGCCGATAACACAACGACTGGCTGTCTCTTCCTGGCAGGACAAATTACAAGGCAGCCGCATCCTGACCGCCATTGTCCTCGAACTGGGGGGATAACGAATTGCACCTTGGGGACACGGCTGCCGCTGCTGGTGGGTGTGTCTTTTGTGTCTTAATGAAGCAACTGGCATGTGATAAATTTTAATTGATTTCATTTACGTCTGTGCGCGGTTTTTGTCCGCGCTCCTTGGCTTCCGATAGGGATCCGTGGCCAAGGACGAGTCATTAGCCCAGGGATAATGCATCCAGATAAGACCTGGCTGTTTGACATAATTGAATTTGGTTTTTTAAGGCTCTTTTCCTAATGATCCTAATGATGTTGACTTACCTGGCAGGACTTTGGTTTATTAATTAGTCTTCTTTGGGGGGGATATCTAAATAAACTTTTAACTATCGACATTAACATAATTTAGTAATGTTGAATGGAAAATGTAACCTTTAATAACTTTTTCTTAAAGAATATTCAACTTTTCTTATTCTATTTCAATTTACAATCTAATCTTTAGAGTCTTTTCTCGTTTATATATTTCAAATTGATTGCATTTAAATTAAAACTCAGCATAAATCACCTGAGTGGGCAGGACACTGGCCTGGCCCTAGACTGGCCGTTGGGCGTTAAGACAAAAGCCCCTTTTCTGCAGCCGTGTCAGCACAATGGCACAGGCGACATAAGCCGATTTCAGGGATATCTCTGCCGGGCTCCAGCTCCCAGTTTTCCCCCCGAAAAATGGTTCGAAAATTATCATCAACGCACAAGTGGCTTGTACTTGTCATACAGAGAGGACAGAGTGGTGAAGGAGGAGCAGGCGGAGGTTACCACAACCCCTTGTGTGTGGCAAAAATATTTTCATTGTGTTTCAGCAGATTTTCCACACGAGACAGGGGGTTGGAAATTGGTTTCGGCAGCAGCAGGAGCCGAGGCTCAAAATGCGAAATGCGATTACCTGCGTTTGCCTATTTGTAGCTTGTTTGTTCGGACTGGGAACTGCCCTTGGTCCTGTGTCCGGAGCCCTTCCTCCTCCCCCTTTCTGCCCTGAATGCTAATCGACTTTTGATTGTGTGTGCATCGCACAAAAAGGTTCAAATGGTCGTGGGCCATAAATAGGAATTTATGCAAGAGATTGTTTTTTTTTTTCATTCACAGATTTATAGATGAGGGTGGTCGGTCCGTACGGAGTGTTGATTGAATTCGGGTTGGATGGGTGCGGTCACAGGTGACATATTTCTGTCTGGCGAGTGACAAGTGTTAACGCCTGTTTTGTTTATTATTTGGAGCATCCCTTTGCTGCATTATAATTGCTAAAAAACTTAAGCTGCGTGAAATCCCAAGTTTCAATTTAACGCTCTTATGATTTCTTGCTGGGATTTGCCTGGACAAGTGCAGCTTGCACTGCCAGCAGTTGTCTTATCTAGGTTTTCCTATTTTATTTTTTGATGGAAAAAAACATCCGCCTTCCGCTGGCGCCGCTCCCATTTGACACTAAGCAGATGCGCCTGAGAATGGTCCATGTGGTCGCTCCGCCACGCTCTCTTTCGA